CGACATAATTATTTCTTTATTATCTCCCAGGTAAAAATTCCCATTGAGACCCGTTGAAAAAACCCAGTTGAAAACCCATTGGAAAAATTCAACATGTGTTTTCGCACCCTCTCAACGGGTCCAACGGGTTTTAATGGGTCCAACTGGTTTTCCAACGGTGTTTCAACGGGTTCAACTGGTTTTCAATCCCAACTGGTTTAACGGGTTACAGGTTCCCAATGGGTTTCCAATGGGTGTTCAATGGGTTTTCCAATGGGTTTTTAATGAGTTTCCTAATGGGTTTTCTAATAAGTTTCCAACTGGTTTTCAATGGGTTTTCTAATGAGTTTTCAACTGGTTTTCAATGGGTTTTCTACTATGGGTGTCCAACTGGTTTTCAATGGGTTTTCTACTATGGGTTTCCAATTGGTTTTCAATGGGTTTCAATTCCAACTGGTCCAACTGGTATTCCAAAGGATATGAGGTCCAACTGCTTTTTCAACTGGGTTTCAATTCTAATTGGCCAACTGTTATCATTAGTAACTCTGAGTCGCTGCAATATCTATTTACTTACTCTATCACTAAATGAATTGAAACAACATTTTTGTTATATTACTGTGCATTTAATAAATTCCACCAACAGTTACAATTATTACATACTTTGAATTTTAAAAATTATGTATCATATTAATATCTAAGTAAATGTAAATTATATATTTCTTTAATACATTCAATGCAATATTTTAAATTTAAGAAAATATATTTAAAAATCAGTTATGCACATTACATTCTATATTTACTCTATAGTTATAACAAGATCTATAGTGTAAGTCATATTGGACAATGAATTAATAATATAAAGAAACAATATGCAATTATTACTACTGTACACTTTAATAACATTGTGTATAGTGAGCAAATTTATAAATACATTAAGGATTAAATTAAATGATTATAGATGATTACAATGCAATTGTTTTATTTAATTTTAAAAAAACCTGAATTTAGAAAATATAAATAAATCAATTATGTGCACTTTGCAGAAAACTAAAAAACAAACACAGATCAATTACTTTTTAACTTGTCAATTATCTTTTGTTAAGTGATGTACCGATTTAGTGGGAGCTTTCTACAGCTTCCTCCTTTGTATGGCTGTATGATTACTAATATTGTTGCTTTTGAAACATTCCTGAAAAAGAAATTGAAATATCACTTATTTAGAAAAAAAATATATGGTTTAACTTGATTTAAAACAATGGATTGCTAGATATAGTGTGCTTTCAGTGGCTGTGAGCTCTTATAATAATAAAATAATAATAATAATAGTAGACTTAGGGCAAAAAGAAAAATTTGTTAGATTATCACTCCCACCCGCATTAAAAAAATGGGAAATATTGATGCGGGAATAAAAAAAATAAATTTTTTTTGCCACATTATTTATTTTAACAGCTTTAAAAAATGATGCAATTTTGTGACGGGAAATATATTTTCTTTAAAAACAATAAAATTAAACTTTTAAATATTCTTGAAAATAAATACATTCCCTCCCTCATCAATTAAAAAAAGCAATATTCTATTGTTCTGTTTGAAAAAAAACACTAACCCTCATCATTTTTTTTTTTTTTGAATAGTGATAATCTAATAGTTTTTTCTATGTGCCCTTATATTAGCATATTGTTAGGCCCTCATTGGATTAATGCCTATGGAACACAAACTCCAGCTCCCTGGGGAAGTATTCGATAACGCTGCAGCAGATACATCAGCACATGTTGGTACAGTGTATTTAACTCTACCAGGTACCCACTTATACTCCTGGGTAGAGAGAAGCAATGCAGATAAAATGCCTTGCCCAAGGACACAAGTTAAATACACAGCGAGGGGATTGAAACCCTGACCCTGCGCCAAACCACTTCTACTACTCTACTATGTTCTGTTGAATTAGAAGACATAAAATAAGTGTAATACAGGTACATTGCAAATTATAAAAAGGGCAATAAATTTTGAAATTGGGAGGATAATACTGTATGCAGCATCAGAAGGTGGTTTTCTAGTCAAAACGGCAATGGATCAAAATGGCAATAAGTGACTAAATCAAAACGGCAATAAACCAAAATAATAATAATAATAATAATAATAATAATAATAATAATAATAATAATAATAATAATAATAATAATAATAGCCTATATAACAACAACATACATACGAACGAATTCAATAATAAAAAGTATGGGGAAACACAATATCAAACAAAGCATTAGACAATTCAAATAAATAAAACTTTAAAATACATTGGACAAAATATGAGGAAAAACCATTTATGTACAGTAATTAAAAGTAAAAAAAAATGCGAAAAAAGAAAGAAAAATAAATAATAATAATAATAATTGGCAGGGCCTATGCCCTAGCCTAACCAAGTAGTAGTAGAGTAGGTAGCTAGGCCCCTAGCATAGGGCTAGGCCCTATTTGTACGAAAAACTAGGTACTACTTAGGCTAGGCCTGGCCTGCTAGGCTAACTACAGTACAGACAGACAGTAGGCCTAGGCCCAAGTTAGCTACGAAGGTAGTTTAGGCCCAGTCTGAACTGGATTTTTATTAATTTTTTTATTAATTTTTTTTACATTAGTATGGTTCTATCGTATTCTTATCTTACCTTTTCTATCGAACACTGCATCATCAGCTGCTGCACCGTCCTAGCTAGCCTAGCATAGGCTCAGCTAGTAGTGCTGGCCCAGCTAGGCTACGACTTCGTCGGCTAGGCCTAGGCCTAGAGGCTGTATGAAACATTCAATCAATCAAGATGTGTTGAATATTAAGTCTTGCATCAATGAATTATCCTTGCTTTGTAGTTATCAGTAAGCAAACCACCTATTATTGTCGTATTTTGTACCTTAAAATCTCAGAATTTGTCAAACATTAGTAGACTCCACTGGTACCTGGTACTGCACACACAATGAATTTGAATGTGGATCCTAGGTTTCCATTGGTCAGTTTCGTAAGGTTCCAAAGGAGTGGCCAATGACGGCAGGGCATATAATGATGTCATTCACTCCGCTTGTGTGGGAGGGGGGTCGGAAACCTGGAATGCCATATCACTACTACATGGAGGATGATATCAATGACAATACAAATAATTAAATATATGAATAAATAATTAATTAATGAGGCCTAATGATAATAAATAGTAGGCTATTAATAATAGGCCTAATTAAAAGTAAATTTTAATTAAAGCAAATTTGTTAACCATTTATTATGCCATACTACAGTAGCATCCCTTGGTCCTCCGTGCATCACCGGCCGGGGGTTCAAGCCCAAGCATTTTAGCATGTAGCTGGACCGGTTGAGGCCATTGAACCCTTTGATGTCGTACCAATTAGACCAGTTGAAACTTGGAGCCCATTCTGTAACCAATTGGACCAGTTGAAACCAATGCACCCATTGAACATACCAATTGGACCCGTTGATTGATACCAGTTAAAAAAGTTGAAAGCCACTTTACCCCTTGAAAATACCAATTGAACCAGTTGAAACCAATTAGACGATTTGAAAATCCCAACTGGTCTCAAATGTTTTTACCTGGGTTTGGATAATACCAGTTAGACCCATTGGATTATACCAGTTACACCCATTGGATACCAGTTAGACCCATTGGATAATCCAATTAGACCCATTGGATAATACCAGCTAGACCCATTGGATAATACCAGTTAGACCCATTGGATAATACCAGTTAGACCCATTGGATATTCCAATTAGACCCATTGGATAATACCTGTTAGACCCATTGTATAATACCAGTTAGACCCATTGGATAATACTAGTTAGACCCACTGTATAATACCAGTTAGACCCATTGTATAATACCAGTTAGACCCATTGAATAATCAGTTAGACCCATTGAATAACACCAGTTAGACCCATTGGATATTCCAGTTAGACCCATTGGATATTCCAGTTAGACCCATTCGATAATGCCCAGTTGGACCCATTGAACAACACCAGTTGGACCCATTGGATATTACCAGTTCAACCCATTGAACAATACCAGTTGGACAATATACCAGTTGGACCAATTGGGTAATACCAGCTGAACCAGTTGAAAAATACCAATTGGACCCATTGAACCTCGTTCAACCAGTTGGACCCATTGAAAAATACCAGTTGGACCCATTGAACCTCATTGGACCCATTGGAAATTTCAATGGGTTTCAATGGGAATTTTTACCTGGCTGTAGTTTGACATTTATGCGTTGATTGATTTAGTTTAAAATAAGTTACTATGATTGAATATTTTTATACATTATAAGATTTGTGTGCTAATGCATTCTATATAATTCATGATGAATTTTAATGGGTTTTTGTAGGAACTAATTTATTTAAATATACTATATTATTTTCCTTTGTTCGGAAGGAAAGCATGGTTTGTGTGGCGCATTGATTTCCATTTCTAATTATGTAATGAGGCTTCTTTATCCATCATGCTTGGTACAGGCTTTTTATATGCTCTATTGTTTATACCGTACTTATCTTAATTCCATTCAGACTGTTTACCACTGAGAACATTGAAATGATGTACTGTTCTGATTTAATGTAATGTATAGTTGGAGAAATAAGTCGTAAGTTTATGTCGATCATTAATACTGTAATATGTTGCGACACTGTAATTAAATAATTACTGTTATTCATTAGTACTGAATTATGATGTTACATATTCTCTGTTGTGCGTTAATTACAATTGTTATTCTGGACAACTTTGTGTTGCATTACAGTATTTATACTGATATTATGGTTTACAGAACATTATGATTATACATATTTTTTCATTTGATTATGGCTGATAATTTATTATGTTATTTTAAATGCGGAAATCCTGGTTTAATTGTATACACTGATTTACATACTGAATTCAGGAATATAACTTTTTAAGCCATCTTGAAGTGTTTATATTGGTTTTTTTTAAAACTCATGTTTATTGCTGTTTTCAGTACTTGATCTTCATGAGATTTACATATGTTGTTGACTGATTTTGCCTTTCTGGTTTAATTCTTGTAGAATTGAATAAAAGTTCATCTAGTTATTTATACTGGAGTTATCTCAATACTTTCTCTCCACGTCTGAGCCGATCCCTGCCTCGCCACAATTCAATTGACTTATTCTGGAACGGCAACCAACTTCGAATATGGAGGTAAAGGATTTGGCTGCACTGAGAAAAAATCGGGCTCTTCGCAAGGGTAAGCTGACGATGGCGCTAACTGAGTTGAACGCAGAATTGAAGGAAGAAGATGTTGTTCAAGATCAGATACGTCAGCTACAGGAGAAATCCAAGACTCGACTTGACGCTGTGGAAAACGCTCATGATATGCTGATGAATGGTATAACAGATGAGGATGAAATCGGACAAGAGGAAGAATGGCTAGGACTTGTTGTAAGATATTTCAACATGGTTACAAGAAGGGCAAGAAAGATTTTAGGTGAAGTCGTTAGGACCCCGGTTAAGCCTATAAGTAATTCAGAAACAAGCCCTGATGAGCAGGTTGTTGATAATATCACTCCTGCAAGTGTTAGTATTGATGACTCAGTCAAAGAAGGGTCAACTGATAATGTTATTGTTTGTGAATCTGTAATTGATGTAGAAACACCTAAAGGTACAGATGTTGTAAATAATACTAACAAAAGTGATGTAAATGTTTCGATTAATGCAGGATCTACCATGCCTACTCATGAGAATTCTCTTATAATTATGGTGCAAGCTATGGCTTTGCCTAAAGCACATGTTAGAAAATTTGAGGGTGATCCTCTATTTTATTATACATTTATGGCTTCATTCAATAACAGTGTATCTTGCATTACTGATCCTAGTATAAAGCTTAACGTTCTTCGTTCATTGTGCTGTGGCCGAGCTCTTGATGCTACAGAATTTTGTGTGTTGAAACCACCAGCTGAGGGCCTTGAAGCAGCGCTGACAACACTCAAGAAACGGTTTGGTAACAGTGCTATGATTGTGCAAGCATGGATAAAGAAGATTGTAACCCGACCAAAGGTGGAGCCAGCAAAGCTCGAAAGTTACGCAGATGATTTAACTAACTGCTTCCAAGCACTAGATGCTCTAGGATACTTGCAAGAACTGAACAATCAAGGGAGTCTGAAGACTATAATAGATAAACTACCAAGGTTCTTACAACAGAGATGGATGCGTGAGAATGATAAAGTGCCCAGTCTGAAGGATGTTGTGAGGTTTGTAAAGACTTCCTCTTGTGAGGTAAATGATCCTGTATTCGGAACTGTCGCTGAACCTCACAAACCATCGAAGCCCGGTGAAAGGAATACAGGACGTGTGTTTCAGACAGATGCAAAGATGGTACCCTCAGAAACCAAGATATTTTCAAAGTGGAAAAAGTGTTGGGGATGTGAAACTGATGAGCACTGGCCCGACCAATGCCCTACACTTTTGCAAGTAACTCCAGAAGAACGTATGAAAAAAGCCAAGGAGAATCATGTATGCTTTTCTTGTTTCAAGAAGGCAGGAAAACAGCATTCGATCACAAACTGCCGAAGAAGGAAGAAATGTACGCAATGTGATAAATTCCACCATCCACTGCTGCATATAACGGCTCAACCTACAACACAACTAATGACCCTAGATCAGAATTCAACTGATGATGTACAAGTGGTCATGCCGATGCTCACAGCAAATGTGTTAGGTAGAGACTCTAACATCTTGTTTGACACCTGCGCTACATTGACCTTGATTAGAGATGATCTGGCTAAAGAATGCAAATTCCCAAGCAAACCAGTAACGGTTGAAATATCAACTCTTGGTTCTGAGAAGTCATTACTTCATACTAGAGCATACAACGTAACACTGACATCTAGGGAAGGACATTCCCACTCTTTAACTGCAATTGGGGTACCTAGCATCACCGATGTACCAACAATTAGTAACAGACTACGATCAGAAGTCGAAGAGAAGCTGGGTGAACCTATCTATAGGAGAAGTGGGACGGTTGATATCTTAATAGGTATTAACTATGCCAAGATGCACACGGGAAAATGCGTTGACATTGATGGTGATTACGTAACAGGAAAGTCTCCATTAGGATGGGTTTTGTTTGGTACCAACACCAAAGGGTCTACAAGACAACATCAAAATCCTGTGATGCTTATCAAGTTAGCTGAGCCTGTAGACATATCTCAATTCTGGTCCACTGAAGAGATGGGGGTGGAATGTAAGTGTGATTGCGCAAAACAGGGTTCCAACACTAAGCCCAGATAGTAACAGGGAATTCACTAAGATGTGGAACTCTTGCATAAAGGATACAGATGGACATTGGGTGGTATCATATCCCTGGATAAAGACTCCAGAAGAACTTCTAAACAACGAAAAGCAATGCTTCGCAAAACTTTGTTCCCTAGAAAAACGGCTCAAGGAAACAAACTCTGCAGAGCAGTATAGCAGGGCGATTGACGATATGGTGGAGAAAGGTTTTGCAAAGAAACTAACTGAAGAAGAGAAAGGAACCTACCATGGACCAGTCCATTACATTCCTCACCACGCTGTCATGAGACCAGAAAGTGCCAGTACACCAATCCGAATAGTCTTTAATTCGTCGAGTGTGTGTGAAGGGTCATCGCTGAATGACTAATGGGGAAAGGGTCCAGACCTATTAAGAAATCTGATGGGAGTGATTATGAGATTCCGGGAATTCAAGATTGCTGTTGCCGGCGACATCAGTAAAATGTTCTATCAGGTTAGGATTCCACCAAGCGACATGCACGTCCACAGATTCTTGTGGAGAAAATCTGAAGAGCGTTCACCTGACACATATGTTCTCACCATTGTGACTCCGGGGGATAAACCTGCACCAGCCATGGCATTGACCGCACTACTAAAGCCAGCTAAGGAAAATGAAACTGACCACCCACAAGTCGCAGCAACTTTACAGCGAGACACCTACATGGACAATATTTGCACTTCAGTAAAGAATGAAAAGGAAGCTATTGAACTGACTAAAGAGATAGACAACGTCCTATCCACAGCAGAATTTAAAGTTAAAAAATGGGTCTCCATTGCTAAACTACATGCTGACCAAGATCACTCTGAGCAACCTGTGATGTCTGAGGACACTGAGCAGAAGGTATTAGGTGTCGTGTGGGAGCCAAAGACAGATGAGCTTAAGTACAAAGTACAGCAAGATGAATTACACGGCAGACTTACCAAGAGAACCGTACTGAGTGAAATCTCAAAAATCTTCGACCCAATTGGATTTTCCGGTGCATTCCTGATACGAGCCAAGATAATGGTACAGCGACTTTGGGCAGCAGGAGTTGGTTGGGACGATGAATTGATTCTGAAAATTAACAGTTAATCATCTTCTGTGATGCGTCTGAGTGTGCCTTTGGCGCAGTGTGCTACACTAGATGGGAGACATCTAATGGTACGTTTGGTGTAGGATTCTTGACCGCAAAGTCCCGAGTTGCACCCCTGAAGGCATTAACAATTCCGAGGTTGGAGCTACAAGCAGCTGTGGTAGCCACCAGACTATACACATCTATAACCAAGGAAATGACTGTCAAGTTTAAAAAATCTATTTTCCTCTCAGACTCGATTATTGCTTTATCCTGGATAAGAGGTCAGTCGCGTCTCTACAAGCCGTTTGTTGCCAACAGAGTGTCTGAGATCCAAGGCAACACCGATCCATCAGACTGGAAGCACATACTAGGAGAGTTCAATATTGCAGACCAAGTCTCCAGAGGCGTGAGTGTGAGTGACTTAAAAGGTGAATGGAAAGAAGGACCTTCATTTCTGAGCTTGCCTGAAATTGAATGGCCATGTTCCATCCCTAGGGAAAGTAAAGAAGGTGTAGATGCCGAAAAACGGAAGCCCAAACCTGTAATGCTCATACAGCAGCTAGAAGCAGCAATTAACATCAATAGATACTCAAATTGGCGAAGACTTCTACGGGTGACAGCATATGTTTTCCGATTTATAGTGCACACCAGAGCAAAGTGCTGCGTGGATGATGGCCCACTATCTGCACACGAATTATTGGTAGCTGAAAGACACTGGGTGAGGGATGCTCAAAAATCCCTAAAGGAGATTAAGGAATACAAGTCTCTAAGTCCATTTAGAGTGAACGGTATAGTATATGTAGGAGGTCGTACAAGTAACAAGAGACTCGCATATGACCAGGCCTATCCTGTCCTTCTGCCAAGATGCCACAGAGTCTCATATCTGATTACCAGACAGATACATGAAACTGGCCACTATGGCGTCGCTACAACTGCCGCAAAAGTAAGGCGAAGATTTTGGATTGTAAAGGCAACCACCTTAGCTAAGACTTTGAAGTTCCAGTGTACTAAATTTCGAGCTTTTGAGCACAAAGCAGAAAATCAGTTGATGGCGGAACTGCCCATAGAACGAGTTACACCTTATTCACCACCGTTCCACTATACCGCAATAGACTACTTTGGACCTTATCATGTTAAAGTAGGAAGGAACAAGTCGACAAAGCAATACGGGGTGATATTGACGTGTTTGACGACCCGTGCTGTACACCTAGAGCTTGATGTTGATTGTTCAACACAGGAATTCATACAAGTACTGAGAAGATTCTACGCAATTAGAGGTCGACCCAAAGTCATACAAAGTGACAATGGCACGCAGTTTGTGAGGGCAGAACGAGAACTAAGACAGATGATAGCTGGTTGGAATAAAGATCAACTAAAGGAGTACTGTGCTAATGAACAGGTAACCTGGAGATTCACTACACCATTAGCCCCTCGCCACAATGGCTGCGCCGAATCACTGGTAAAGAGTTGCAAACATGCTTTAAAGAAATCTATAGGAGATCAACGTCTGACGCCGTTTGAATTGTACACATACTTCCAGGAAGTGGCAAACTTGATTAATGAAAGGCCGATTGGTAGAAAGCTGAATGATCCTGATGACGGTTCATTTATTTGCCCGAAAACGACATTCTGTTGGGGAGATCCACAAGCCATGTACCTCAGGGCCCCTTCAGGGAAACCAAAAACCCACGGAGACGTGTAGAGTTCGTCCAGAAGCTAGTCAATGCGTTCTGGAAAGTTTGGATTAGGGATGTGTTTATTTCTCTTGTACCACGCAAGAAATGGAGTATTGAAAGAAGAGATGTACGAATTGGTGATGTAGTGATGTTAGCAGACCCCAATTCAGCTCGAGGAAAATGGACCATTGCAAGGATTACCGATGTATATCCAGGAAAGGACGGCCACGTGCGCAGTGTATCTGTAAAAACCCCCAATGTGAATTACGTTCGTCCCATAACTAAGTTAGCTGTTACATATCCAGTTGAGGGATACGAATAGATCCAAGTTTATGTGAATTCCTCACATGGTGGGGGAGGGTGTTTCGTCTAGAAACTATTGTTTGAGAGCGCATTTTATTTTTTATATTTCTACTTGAGGGCACTAGATTTGCATGGGTAATTCGGATCTCGCCGCTGAATTCAATGCAACACATCATAATTTGTCTCTAGTATTCACTGGGTTTTACCGTTTAAAACCATACCTGATGTTAATGAATTTCGTTAAGATGTTATGTAAGTATTTAAGAATTGTTGCTTGATTGCAACATAACTGTTTGTATCTTCAAAGTATTAATTTAGCACATAGCCTATATAGCCTATGTAACACTCTGCTTAGGCCTAGACTGTCTCACGTGTATACGGATAGCAGCGTGCTGTTTGAGCATTAGACTAGCTCTGCCTAGGCTTGTCGCTGTAGTTTGACATTTATGCGTTGATTGATTCAGTTTAAAATAAGTTACTATGATTGAATAATTTTATACATTATAAGATTTGTGTGATTTCCATTTCTAATTATGTAATGAGGCTTCTTTATCCATCATGCTTGGTACAGGCATTTTATATGCTCTATTGTTTATACTGTACTTATCCATAGTCCATTCAGACTGTTTACCACTGAAAACATTGAACTGATGTACTGTTCTGATTTAATGTACTGTATAGTTGGAGAGATAAGTCGTAAGTTTATGTCGATCATTAATACTGTAATATGTTGCGACACTGTAATTAAATAATTACTGTCATTCATTAGTACTGAATTATGATGTTACATATTCTCTGTTGTGTGTTGATTACAATTGTTATTCTGGACAACTTTGTGTTGCATTATAGTATTTATACTGATATTATGGTTTACAGAACATTATGATTATACATATTATTACATTTGATTATGGCTGATAATTTATTATGTTATTTTAAATGCGGAAATCCTGGTTTAATTGTATACACTGATTTACATACTGAATTTAGGAATATAACTGTTTAAGCCTTCTTGAAGTGTTTATATTGGTTTTTTTTTAACTCATGTTTATTGCTGTTTTCAGTATTTGATCTTCATGAGATTTACATATGTTGTTGACTGATTTTGCCTTTCTGGTTTAATTCTTGTAGAATTGAATAAAAGTTCATCTAGTTATTTATACTGGAGTTATCTCAATACTTTCTCTCCACGTCTGAGCTGATCCCTGCCTCGCCACAACAGGAATCCGTTAGACAGTGGGTCTCCTCCATGTTTGACTACAGTACTACCAGCATTGGTTGTTCATTAGCCAATGATTCTGGAACATAGTTGTTCTGGTGTAGAAAAAAAAGTGTTAGCAATTCATTTCAATTCATAATTAATGGGCAACACATTGTTTATATTTTGACCAAATATGTGACTTTATGAAAGTTTTATTTGTTGGAAAAGAAAGAATGACTTGACCCACATTCTGTGGTTTGCAATAATATTATGCTGGCACTAATAGGCCTTTCTTTGAGTCTTACAAATTGGGGACTCATTTGATTTAATTTTTATTTATTTGATTTATTTGAAGTAGCATTACATAAAATGAGCGAGCATTAAACATACAAAGTAAAAGTTAAAATTAACTAGTTCCATTTAGGTACAAATGCCAAACCATTACAAAAATGGACAACCACATTATTACATCCAGTTATTACGTTTTTGTTTATGTTTTTTGGGGGGTTTTTTTTGCATTCTACACTTTAGACTAAATGTATTTGTTGTAATTTTAATAATGGAAATGGGCCTAAGGGTTTTTTTTTTTTTATAAAAATAACTATATATTATAGCTAATGTCTATGGAACAAAACAAAATAAAGCATTTTTTTTTTTAAAGATTTCTAGGACAAAATTAAAGTTTATGTCTAGACCAAAAAAAAAAAAAAAAATTTTTGCCTCTTTATTTAATATACTGCTGACCTTTTAACAAGCACATATTTTGTCACATAACAGTTCAAAAATCATACACCTCTCACATTTTACGTCCTAAAAAATAATTAAAATTAGTTATATGCAGGGTTTTTCAATCCTAGACTTGATTCTCAAAACAGATAAATATTTCCACATAAATCAAGGACTTTTTACTGTTACCAGGATGGGAAGCTGGCTGGTTTAAGCAGTCTAACTTGAATTAGCCTTATGTGTGTTATTGTTATGCTAATGAGCCAGAAAACCACAATCTGCACATGTTTAGAAAAACAAAATTTTCCTTAGCCACACTGTTACGTTGCTCCTCCAATTAATCTTTTAAACTAATCCCTTCAGTTCTCTAAAACGAAACAAAGTCATGATTTATTAAATGCCTATACGTTTGCATGTACAATTGAATTCAGCCATGCAATGAAACTATTTTGAATTTATAGTTTACTTACAAATTTACAAACAACAGGCATGACAGGCAAGACATGCACATTACTTCTGCAGATTCGCTGACTTAAAACCCCATTCCCAGCAAATTTCTATTTTAAAAGAAGAATCTGATTTTCATTTAACGTTTGTAAAAAAAATACGAAATTGCTAGTTTAAATGATGGCTTTTGAGTCTTTCTAAGAGAAAAAGTTTCTTTTTCAGTAGGAAATTTTTGTGTTGCTAATTTTTTTTTTTTTTTTTTTTTTTTTTTTTATTTTTTGCCTCTACGATACGTTCCATCAAACTTTTTGTAATATAACTGTCTTCTTCTGAAAGAAAGTTTGGAACCAACAAAATTGAATATTGGTTTTTCTCCCTAAGTATTTTTAACTTGAATCAGGGTGAAAATGTTCAAAGAATTATAATAATGTACATTAAAAAAATGTGATGCAAGAATCCTATGTCATATCCAAGCTAATCAAATAGTGTTATATTTATGATAAATTAATCCTAAACAATAAAAATTATATCACCTAGTGTGTGCATTATACAATAAATATGGAGGTATGAAATGGTGGGGTACTGTGTCTGTTGTAAACTAAAATTTGGAAGTAGGAGCAAGAATTGCGATCACTTCATCTTTAATTCTTGCATGCTCACACAAAATATATCACAGTACAAATACAGTTTTATGCCTTGACTACTGTATGACTTACCAACATCACCTTTGTCAAATACCCCACCTTGCCTTTTGGTAGAAATCACAGATGTGGCAAAAGGATTTGCCCGACGGGGGGCCCAAGGTCCCCGACGGCAGGGGGGGGGTCAGATTCCCCAACGAAAGTAAAGTGGGCGTGGTCGACCTTCGATTAAAAGTTTTCGAAAGTGGTTCAGGGGGGCGAAACCTCGAACATTTTGACAATTTAGGAGTTTCAAAGGCTTATTTAATCGATTTTAGAGTCTACCCGAACGACCATAAAAATCGATTGACCCTAGAAATTTTTGTTTAAATTTGTTCACGATACAAGTTTACGTTAGTAAAGTAGGCGTGGTCGGGCGTCCAAGGCGAGATATATGACAATTAGGGGCTTTAAAGGCTTATTTAATTGATTTTATAGATTTCAAGGCCTTCGCTGAATATTGTGGCAGTTAAAAAAAGAAAAAAAAAAAACCTACCTACGTACCCTATATTTTTTTAGACCCGTTAGGCCAACATAACATTTTTTTTTCATCCTTAGTTGTACTCGCCTTCAATGAGTAAATTAAGGGTGCCACTGAAACGATGATGCTTAGGCGAATTTTGATTTGCTGAATCTACGAGGAGGTGTCCTCGTAACAGGAAATCTACCTTATTTAATAATAGTTATAATTAAAAACAGAAAAAAGCAATTTTTCTTATGGAGATTTCATTATACCGATTTAATGCTCTACTGAAGTATGAGGCCAACTTTGTGATAATTGCTGCACTTTTGTAATAACCTGTTGCAATTTCTAATAAGCATTGTTACACTCTTTAACTAGAAGTGCTCCTTTTACGCTGCGTATTTTCTTAGAGAATCGGTAAGCAGGCCTATAATAACAGGTAATAATTTGTTTAAAAATGGATAGTATCGAGATTTCTTCCCAAAGTTTTAACAATTCTCACAGAGTGTTCAAGATTTGTTCCAGCATAGAAGAGCAGTTCCATGGTTGTGAGATGTTGACGCCCAAATTATTTATTTTATAAAACAATAAAATGGATTGAAAATTTAACCATAAATTAATAATAAATTACATAATTAGCTTAAATTAATTCAACAAGACGAATTTTACCCATTAAATATGTACATCTTTACATGTAAATCCAGTAAGTAGACTAGTTTTGAGTAAAACCAATATACAAAAACGTCACAGACATTAATAAACATATCAGTGTGATAAGCCCTCTTTCTTTAAGTATTTAATATAGGCTAATTACTCTATTGCTAAATATTTTTTTAATTTTGCCTAATTATGTCCTATTTTAACCTTATTTGATGTAGAAAACCAGCTATTCGTTAGCAGAAAACCCATTGTGTTTGTTCTGATTTGTTTTCTCCTTCTTGACATCATCATCATCATCACCTTCATCATATCAACACCACCAAGGTGAAAAGGTGATTACAAAATGTGATGATAATATAATAAATATCCAAAAATAAATATATTGAATAAGTTATGGAATTTTATTTATTTATTTATTTTTTTTTGTTGTAAAATAAAAAATTAACAATTTACATTCTATTTCGTCGAAAAAAATTCGATATTTTTTTTTCTAAAATGCGTGATTATTAAAAGAAATATAATGTTTTAAATGCTTTAAAATATAAGAAATATTTATTTCAAGATACCAACATCCATCATATTAGTACTGAAAAGATTGATATAATCTATCAGTACCGGTATCATAGATATAAAGAAAGCAGATTAATGACTTAAAAAGATCCTCCTCCAGTATAACCATTTATTGCTTGCTCACAAACGCGACAGTTTGATCACTCGCAAACTTGCTATTAAGCAAATGCTTTTTTTTTTATCTAAACAGGTGGTATCTGCTGTGACTTTGAATATGGCTGGTGTAGCTGGACTTACGATAGTCAGTGGAATCGTTCTTCTGAGAGAATCAATAGTTCTGGTCAAGGTTCTTTTAGAAATTTCTACAATGTCTTTCTCATCAATTATGCTATTTTTATTATACTGTACTGCAAAAATACTAATAGACTATGAAATATGTATCAGTGTATTTAAAAAGAATAAAATAATAGATAAACGAAGCAAAATGCAGATGAAGAATATATATAACGAAACATAATAGCCGGGCCTCATAATGATATCAATAGTAATATCAATTATAATGATAATAATTATAATGATATTATTGATAATGATATTATAATGATGATAATAATAATAGTAATAATATTTATAATGATAATAATATTGTAAATATTATTAACAATAATAATAATAATAATAATGATAATAATAATAATAATAATATTCACGTAAAAATTGATAATAATATTATTATTAATATCATTATTATAAAAATAATAAAAATATTAGTTTTTCATATTATTAATATTATTATTATAATAAAAATAATATATTTACTATTAATATTATCATTAATATTAATTATATTAATTTAATATTAGTATTAACAATATAAATAATAATAATAATAATAATAATAATAATAATAATAATAATAATAATAATAATAATAATAATAATAATAATAATAATAATAAATAATAATAATACCATATAACGAATGTTTCATTCACATCAGTTGATCCGTTTTCGAAATAAGTGGTCTGGGACGTTTTCCTTTCAATGGTCATCAGATCTACACCATACTCTGCATCGTCGTCACAAAAATGTAATCATTTCTTTACTCGACTTTGACAAACTGTTGTACAAGTTTTAAATTATACCCATTGATTTTTGAAAGAGATATTTAGGTCTGAGTCCTCAAAAATTGAAATTACCCCCCAATTTACACCCTTGACTTATTCGTCGCCAGCACATTATAATTTCTTCCTTGTAACTTGGTTAAACCTTTAAATTTAAGACGGTATTTTCAATGAGAATAAAAAATATAGCTGACCATTTTCTGTAAAAACTTCTGTAACAATATCAATATATAGGCCGATCATCATAATATATATATAATTTTTCCTTGATTTTCAGATGGTTATTATATATATATACAACAATATTCTGGACACGCAGAGCTTAGAAGTCCTAAAATACAAGCTACTTGGAGTGATATTTGTCTGTCATTTTACTATTATATGAGTGGAGATCCAGAAAAGCATATA